ATCAACTCAATACAGATTGCTATATGCCTAGATTATTATATATGAACCTCACGGTAATCACAAACCAGAAACCTACAATAAATACACAAGTAATTAAGAGAAAGGAACCCAAACATCATACTAAAAGAAGCCATCAAACCACAAGGGAAGACAGCAAGAGAAGAAGAAAGGAAAAGAGAAGAACTACTAAAACGAACAGAAAAAAATAACAAAGTGGCAATAAGTACATCCTTATCAATAGCTACTTTAAATGTCATTGGACTAAAGGCTCCAATCAAAAGACATACAGTGGCCGATTGGATAAACAAACAAGACTCATATATATGCTGCATATACTTCACACTTCAGAACTAAGGACACTCAAAAACTGACAGTAAAGGGATGGGAAAAGATACTCCAAGCAATTGGCAAAGAATAGAAAGCTGGGGTAGCAATATTTACATCAGGCAAAATAGACTTTAAAACAAAAATTGTAACAAGACACAAAGAAGGACACTACATAATGAGAAAGGGAACAATCCAACAACAGCATATAACACTTGTAAATATCTATGCACCCAACATAGGAGCCCCTAAATATAGAAGCAATTATTAACAGACATAAAAGGAGAAATAGAAAGTAACACAATAATAGTAGGGGATTTAACACTCCACTCACACCAATGGATAGATCATCCAAACAGAAGATCAATAAGGAAACATTGGCCTTAAATGATGCAATAGACCAGATGGATTTAGTAGATGTGCATACAACATTCCATCCAAAAACCACAGAATACACATTATTTTCAAATGCACACGGAAAATTCTCCAAGGCTGATCACATATTAGGCCACAAAACAACTCTCAATAAATTTTAGGAAGATTGAAATAATAACAAGAATCTTTTCAGACCATGAAGGTGTGAAACTAGAAGTCAACTAAAGGAAGAAAATCAGAAAACCACAAATATGTGAAGATTAAACGGAATGCTACTGAACAACAATTGGATCAATGAACAAATCAAGGAGAAAGCAAAAGATACCTGGAGACAAAAGAAAATGAAAGTACAACATGCCAAAATCCATGGGTTTCAGCAAAAGTGGTCTGAGGCAAGTTTATACTAACTCAGGCCTAACTCAACAAACAAGAAAAATCCCAAACAAACGGTCTAACAGTGCAGCTAAAGGAACTGAAGAGAAGAACAAACAAAGCCCAAAATCAGTAGAAGGAAGGAAAATCAGAGCAGAAATCAATGAAATAGAGACTAAAACAACAATAGAAAAAATACAAGAAAGCAAGAGCTGGTTCTTTGCAAAGATAAACAAAATTGACAAACCTCTAGCTACACTCACCAAGAAAAAAAGAGAAAAGGCTCAAGTAAATAAAATCAGAAATGAAAGAGGAGAAATTCCAATGGACATCTCAGAAATACAAAAGATAATAAGAGAATACGATGATAAGCTATACGCCAACAAATTGGATAATCTAGAAGAAATGGACAAACTCTTAGAATCATACAACCTTCTAAAACTGAGTCAAGAAGAAATAGAGAAATGGAATAGGCCAATCACCAGTAAAGAAATCATAACAGAAATCGAAAACCTCCCAAAAACTGAAAGTCCAGGACCTGATGGCTTCCTTGGTGAATTCTAACAAAGATTCAGAGTTAATACCTATCCTTCTCAAACTTTTCCAAAAAATTGAAGAGGAGGGGAAGCTTCCTAACTCAGTCTATTAGGCCAACATTACCCTGATACCAAAACCAGACAAGGACACCACAAAAAAAGAAAATTACAGGCCAATATAACTGATGAACATCAATGCAAAAATCCTGAACAAAATACTCGCAAATCGAATACAACAATACATTAAGATCATACAGCATGAACAAGTGGGACTTATTCCAGGGATGCAGGGATGGTTCAACATCCACAAATCAATCAACATGATACACCACATTAACAAAATGAAGAATAAGAATCACATGATCATTTCAACTGATGCAGAGAAAGCATTTGACAAGATACAGCATCCATTTATGATAAAAACTCTAAATAAAATGAGTATAGAAGGAAAATACCTCAACATATATGACAAACCCACAGCTAATATCATTCTTAATGGAGAAAAACTGAAAGGTATCCCTCTAAGAACAGTAACCAGACAAGGATGCCCACTTTCACCACTCTTATTTAACATAGTATTTGAAGTCTTAGCCAGAGCAATCAGGCAAGAAAAAGAAATAAGAGGGATCCAAATTGTAAAGGAAGAAGGGAAACTGTCACTATTTCCAGGTGACATGATATTATATAATAGAAAATCCTAAAGAATTCACCAAAAAATGTTTTAGAAATTATGAATGAATATGGTCAAGATGCAGGATACAAAATCAACATACAAAAATCAGTTGTGTTTCTATACGCTAACAATGATTTAGCAGAAAGAAAAATTAAGAATACAATGCCATTTACAATTGCAGCAAAAGAATAAAATATCTAGGGATAAACTTAATCAAAGAAGTGAAATATCTGTACACTGAAAACTATAAAACATTGTTGAATGAAATTGAGGAAGACAAAAAAATGGAAAGATGTTCGGTGCTCTTGGATTGGAAGAATTAACATAGTTAAAATGTCCATACTTCCTAAAGCAATCTACATATTCAACGCAATCCCTATCAAAGTTCCCACAACAATTTTCACAGAAATAGAACAAAGAACCCTAAAATTTATATGGAACAACAAAAGACCCCGAATAACCAAAGGAATCCTGAGAAAAAAACACAGCTGGAGGTATCACACTCCCAGATTTCAAAATATACTACAAAGCCATAGTAACCATAACAGCATGGTACTGGCACAAAAACAGACACACAGATCAACGGAACAGAATCAAGAGCCCAGAAATAAACCTACACATCTACAGACAGCTAATTTTTGACAAGGGAGCCAAGAGCATACAATGGAGAAAGGAAAGTCTCTTCAATAAATGGTGTTGGGAAAACTAGACAGCCACATGCGAAAGAATGAAAGTAGACCATTATCTTACACCATACACAAAAATTAACTCAAAATGGATTGAATGTAAGACTTGAATGTAAGACCTGAAGCCATTATACTTCTAGAAGAAAACATAGGCAGTACACTCTTCAACATTGGTCTTAGCAGCATATTTTCAAGTACCATCTATGACAGGGCAAGGGAAACAATAGAAAAAATAAACAAATGGGACTACATCAAACCAAAAATCTTCTGACAGCAAAGGAAACCATCAACAATATGAAAAGACAACCTAACAATTGGGAGAAGATATTTGCAAACCATATATCTGATAAGGGGCTAATATCCAAAATTACAAAGAACTCATACATCTCAACAACAAAAAAACTAAGAACCCCATTAAAAAATGGGCAAGAGGTCTGAGCAGATTTCTCCAAAGAAGACAGATGGCCAACAGGCACATGAAAAGATGTTCAACATCATTAACGATCAGGGAAATGCAAATCAAAACTACAATGAGATAATCATCTCACTCCAGTCAGAATGGCTATAATTAAGGGAGCAACAAGTGTTGGAGAGGATGTGGAAAGAAGGGAACACTCATACACTGCTGGTGGGAGAGCAAAGTGGTGCAGCCATTATGGAAAATAGTACGGAGATTCCTCAAAAAATTAAGAGTAGATCTATCATATGATCCAGCTATTCTACTGCTGGGTATTTATCCAAAGAACTTGAAAACACAAATGCATAAAGATACATTCCCTCGCCCCCCCCGCCCCCGACCCCTGGTTCATCACAGCATTATTCACAATAGCCAAGACTTGGAAGCATCCTAGGTGCCCATCGAGGGACAAATGGATAAAGAAGGTGTGGTATATATACACGATGGAATACTACTCAGCCATAAGAAATGATGAAATCCAGCCATTTGCGGCAACATGGATGGGACTCGAGGGTGTTATGCTAAGTGAAATAGGTCAGAGGGAGAAAGTCAAATACCATATGAGCTCATTCGTAAGTAGAAGATAAAAACAACGACAACAAACACATAGAAACAAACATTGGTTTGGTGGTTATCAGAGGGAAAGGGGAGAGCGAGGAGAGCAAAAGGGGTGACAGGGCACATGTGTGTGGTAATGGATTCTACTGAGTCTTTGGGTGGTGAAAGTGTGGTAATCTACACACAAATCAAATTACATGATGATGTACACCTGAAATTTATATGATATTATAAACCAATGTTACCACAATAAAAATAATGATAAAAGTAATAAAACAAAATAAAAAGACCCAGAGTTCATGTTGCAAATATGCCCACATAGAAAGGGGGGACAGTAAACACACAGTAGAGAAATCTGACAAATGTTGCCTCAGCCACGTGATCAAGGTCAACATCAACAGTGATAGTCACGTGGACTGCAAGTACCCCTGAAATGTTGTGCTGAAAATGGTGTTTTATTTCCATGATCTTCCTCCTCAAAACCCATAAGCCCAGTCTAATCATGAGAAAAACCCCATCAAACCCCAAAAGAGAAACTTCGCTGAAATACCTGACCAGTGCTCCTAGAAACTGTTAACGTCATGAAAAACAAAGAAAGTCTGAGAAACTGTCTCAGCCAAGAGGAGCCTGAGGAGACATGACGACTCAGTGTGATGTGGCCTCTGGATGGGATCCTGGCACGAAGAAAGGACATTAGGGAAAAACGAAGGAAATCCTGATAAATAGGGACTATGGGAACTCTCTCTACTGTCTTTGCAATTTCTCTAAAATTCTAAAACTGTTCTAAAAATTAAAGCTTATGAAAAATGTTTTTAAAATTTGCCCGCATTTCTACATGATTGGGCTTGTTATTGAATTCCTGGTGCCCTTTCATGAATTCAAGCTCAGATTACCCCAGAATGTCTTGGAATAACTTCATGGTTGCTCAATACGATCGACCTTTGGACTCTCTATCAAGATCCACTTTTCTTTATCAGCAGGCACCTCCTCAATAAACTGGGAGAGATTAAGAATTGTTTCAGCTTTGTGTAAAAGCTGGTCTCCCAGAAGCTGCCACAACCTCCAACAGCGGCTACAGCTGAAACTCGAACACCTGGAACAAAGAGCTCATCACAATGTCAGATGGGTATGTGTGGTTTGAAGGGATACCTTTCCCTTCCATGGGTTACAAACCAGAAGTCCTGAGAGAAGCACGGGAGAGTTTTGCGTTGAAGGATGAAGATGTCTTGATACTGACTTACCCCAAATCAGGTAAGGAAGCTGGATCAGATGCTGGGGCAGGGTCTGGCCATGTGCCTCATTCACTCAGTAGACCAGTGGAGTGATTTTCGTATGTCAGACAATGAGTGATGCTCTGGGGGAATAGAGCTGGGCCCTGACGCCATTTACATTCAGACAAAAGGCTTCCTCCAGGCAGTTACACAGTAAGATGAGTGTCCAGAAGGGTAATCTCAGGTATCAGGGGAACCAACCGGAGAGACTCCTAAGGCAAAGTCTGGTGTTTGTACAGAGGAGTGGAGGAGGATGACAAGTGAAGAAATAGGAAAAAAAAAATGTAATTATGAGATAATAGATACGTTAATTAGCTTGATTGTAGTCATCATTTCACAATGTATACACAGTTTTTCTTTGCGAGTTATACCTCAATAAAACTGGGGACGGACTAATAAAGCAACTGTCACCGCCAAAAAAAAAGCAGAAGAAAAAGCATCTAAATTGAGATGAAACAATGAATGTGAAACTATTTAGTGAAAAGGGGTATTTTCAGGTAAAGATATCAGCATGGACAATGGTCAGGAAGTGGAAAAGAGCCTGGAAAATTCAAGGGGCTGAAAGGATGTGGATCACATTTATATGAGGGGAGATGGGGTGAGGGACTGAAAATGGGGCAAGCACTGAGGCTGAAGACATTGGAAGTGTCCTGGTGGTGAAAAGTCAAGGGCAGTGGGAGTAGGTTAAAAGGATTTAAGCAAATAGCCAAAATTTAGAAGCAACCGAAACACCACTGACAGATGAATGGATAAACAACATGTAGTATATACACATAATGGAATATTTTTCAGCCTTAAAAATGAAGTCCTGACACACGCTACAACGTGGTGAACTGTGAGGACATTGTGATGAGTGAAATAAGCAAGGCACAGAAGGACAAATATGGCATGATTTCACTTCAGTGAGGTGTCCAGAGAAATCAACTTATCAAATTAGAAAGTAGAATGGTGGTAGCCAAGGACTGGAGGGAGGGGAAACTGGAGAGCTGTTGCTGAGTGGGGACAGAGTTTCAGTTCTTCAAGATGGTTGCACCACAACGGGAATTTACTTCACACTGCTGAACTGTGCACTTGAAAATGGTTAAGATGGTGCACTTTATGTTGTGTATGTTTTATCACAATTTTTTGAAAAGTCAGGTTAAAATGAGTGACCATCATTTTTCCTTCTTTATCCAGGAACAAACTGGTTGATTGAAATTGTCTGCCTGGTTTACTCCAAGGGGGATCCCAAGTGGATACAATCTGTGCCCATTTTGAAACGCTCACCCTGGGTAGAAGTTGAGTATGGGTATAATTTACTTAAGGATAAGGAAGGCCCCCGCCTCATCACCTCCCACCTCCCCATCCAGCTCATCCCAAAGTCTCTCTTCAACTCCAAGGCCAAGGTCAGTGTTCAATGGTCAAGATAAGTTTGATGAATGCTTTCCAAACACTAATGTACCTGGGAATCCCCTGGAGATTTCGTTGAAATGCAGCCTCATTCAGTAGATCTGGGGTGGGCCTGAGATCCTGCATTGGGTGTTCCAGGGTCCATACTTGAGTACAAGGGTATAGACCCCTCCGCAGGTTATACCACCCAGATTTAAACCAGAGGCAAAGTGAAATGATAATGCCAGAATCTTAGAAAACCACGTTTTACACCCAACCTTAATTTATAACTGTGTTGTACACAAGATAACCCCACTCTGTGGCTCTAAAAATAATTAGCCAATCTTCATTAAGTAAATGCCTTCCACCACTTGGGTAGAAGCACCAGACATCGAGTTGCCCAGGTGGGAAGCAGCCCATTCATAAATCAATGCCTAAATCCAGGGAGATTGTTCTGGCACCGTGTCTGGTTTTTCTAACCACTATGTCTCCCCATATACAACTAACTATTGAGCTCGGCAGCCACACGAACCTCTCATGGTGCCGACAGATGGTGCCCAGGAGGGACCATGTACACCCAGGATCTAGCATATCTCAGACTGTTTTTAGAAACAGATGTTCCTGGAAGCTGCTCATTGGTTTGAGATTTTTTTTTTTAAGTTTTATGCCTAAATTAGATTGTGAAGCTTAGAATAATTGTTTCCTTTCTTGCAAATTTCCCAATGTGTTGCAGCACAGTGAAGTTTGTTTTTTAACCCATCACTTCCCAAGCTTGTTTATAATACACTCATTTATCTGTGTCGTATGGGTGTTTGTCAAATCCCTGCATGGGGAAACTGAGGCCTAGAGAGACCTGGGGCCCAGAACAATGTCACTAAGAAAGTTGGTGAAGAATCCAGAGTGTAAGTCAGATGTTCAAATGCCATGTGCTCTTCCATGTGTGTGTCCATGTCTGTGCACTAATTGTAAGTGTTAGCTTGTTCATCTTTACATGTGTACACAACTGGGTTAACTCCTTGCAGGACATTTGTTCTTGTCAAAAATGTGCATAAAATATTTGGTCCATAAGACATTTAGTCCATGCCCAAAGTGCTTGCCATTTATTCCTGTCCAAGACATCCATGAGCATATTCGGTCTCTGCCCAATGTTTTGGGCATAGACCAAATATCAAGGACCTTTGGGTGTGGGGACCCAATGTCTCCATGGACATTTTGAACAGGATCAGATATGACCAAATATCAAGCAGTTTGTTGTGGACCCCATGTCTTATGGAAGCTTTGCACGGGACCAAATATCTGCTAAGCAGGTAACTACCTTCCAGATCCAGATTTAGAACATTTCCACTCCCCGAGAAAATTCCCTCATGCGCCTCTCCAGTCAATGCCCACCCACAGAAGTGACCGCTCGCCTGACTTCTAACTCTATAGATGAGTTTTGCTAGTTCTTGTATTTCATAAAAATAGACTTATACCCTAAGAAGGCCTGCTGTGTATCTATGAATATAGCTCAGTTTATTCATCCATCTCCTGTGTATCTATGAATGTAGCTCAGTTTATTCATCCATCTCCTGTGTATCTATGAATGTAGCTCAGTTTATTAATCCATCTCCTATGTATCTATGAATGTAGCTCAGTTTATTCATCCATCTCCTGTGTATCTATGAATGTAGCTCAGTTTATTAATCCATCTCCTGTGTATCTATGAATATAGCTCAGTTTATTCATCCATCTCCTGTGTATCTACAAATGTAGCTCAGTTTATTAATCCGTCTCCTATGTATCTATGAATATAGCTCAGTTTATTCATCCATCTCCTATGTATCTATGAATATAGCTCAGTTTATTAATCCATCTCCTATGTATCTATGAATGTAGCTCAGTTTATTCATCCATCTCCTGTGTATCTATGAATGTAGCTCAGTTTATTAATCCATCTCCTATGTATCTATGAATATAGCTCAGTTTATTCATCCATCTCCTGTGTATCTATGAATGTAGCTCAGTTTATTAATCCATCTCCTATGTATCTATGAATGTAGCTCAGTTTATTAATCCATCTCCTATGTATCTATGAATGTAGCTCAGTTTATTCATCCATCTCCTATGTATCTATGAATGTAGCTCAGTTTATTAATCCATCTCCTATGTATCTATGAATGTAGCTCAGTTTATTCATCCATCTCCTGTGTATCTATGAATGTAGCTCAGTTTATTAATCCATCTCCTATGTATCTATGAATGCAGCTCAGTTTATTAATCCGTCCCCTAGGAGTGATCTTACAATCATACTCCAGAAATATAATAGCAGTCACCTTTTAAAACCTTCAGTTGCTTCCCATTCTGAGTAGACTATGATATCCAACAGAGAAACGACAATGCTTTCCTCTTCCGCTTTTATATTCTTAGCATTACTCCAGTGACTGGTTCATAGGAAATTAAAAATCTACAGTTGGTTAATGAATGCAGTAACCAACTTGTTAAAGGAATGCATTGATACTTAGGGATTTTCTAAGAATTGATATTTCTCCATTGTTATGAAGATCAAGAAGGATGGGAAATGGCTGTATTAATTTTTTGCTATTCCGTTTTTCTCTTTCAGGTGATTTATCTCATCAGAAATCCCAGAGATGTTCTCACGTCTGGTTATTTTTTCTTTGGGGCTTCAGCTTTTGCTAAGAAACCACAGTCAATGGAGGAATATTTTGGATGGTTCATCAAAGGAAATGGTGAGTGAATGTAAAATACGGAAGCTGGGGCATTGTCAGAGGCCTTTAACAGACCTCATTTTACACCCGACCTGAGATCTCTACACCTCAGCATCCTAGGGCTATAAGGCTCCATCACCATTGGATCCCAAGTTTTCAAATTCCACACTCTCTCCTGCACAGCAGCAAAACCCCAGCCCGTCTCTCAGCTTGCCCCGTCATCAACCATGCTAGCCATCTTCTCAGTCTCCAGGGCCTGTCTAATGCTAACAGGGAGGACTCATATTCTTCTCTTCTCTCCCAATTTGTGACTTTCTGGTTTTTTGTTTTGTTTTGTTTTTGAGGAAGATTGGCCCTGAGCTAACAACCAGCACTAATCTTCCTCTTTTTGCTCAGGAGGATTGGTCCTGAGCTAACACCTGTGCCCATCTTCCTCTATTTTATATGTGGGACACTTGCTACAGCTTGGCTTAATAAGCGGTGAGTAGGTCCTCGCCCAGGACCCAAACCGGCAAACCCTGGGGCACCAAAGTGGAGCACATGAACTTAACTGCTGTGGCACCGGGCTGGCCCCTGTGATGTTCTGGAACACAGCTTTTCATTGGCTTCCTGGCCAACACGATGCTGACTTTACACCACATTTTAGATGCATCTGTCTAAAACTCCCTTAACCCTCTTGTCCTATCTGTCTCAAAAATGTATGCATTGGGGTCGGCCCAATGGCCTAGTAGTTAAGTTCTGCGAACTATGATTTAGCAGCCCGAGTTCAGTTCCAGGCGCGGAATTACACCACTCATTGACAGCCACGCTACAGTGCTGACCACATACAAAATAGAGGAAGGTTGGCACAGATGATAGCTCAGGGCAAAACAAAAAAAGATATGCATGCATTGCTCTAGGATCTCTATACTTTTAATTATGCAGAACTTCTAGACATTCTCGGATGCTTCAAATTTTGCAGTTTTTCTCTAGACTATATGATGAGTGTCTTATCATAGCTGTGATATAGCTCCTTAGCTTGAGCTGTGTTTCTCTAACAGCCCATAGACCTCTTCACTGGAGAGAGCCATGGAGACCTCCAGTTCAGTGTCTTCAAAACTGAACACATTTCCCACTCCCCCATGCCCCTCACCACTTTCCTTTATCTATTTATTATCCAAGTCCCACAACCTTGATTATTTCCTCCTTCGAGTCTCTGCTGAAATGTCTCTGTATTTGTGGCAGTCTTCCTTTTCAATACTATACATCAGAGCATCCTCCCCGTCTCTATTATCTTCTCTCTTTTTGTTCTTAGCATTCATCATCAATGAGTATGTATTCTATTTAGTTTTTTTGCATGCGTCTCCCAACTAAAATGTAAGCTTTTGGAGTTGTTCCTTCTTGGCATCAGGTTCTAGAGCGGTGCTCGCCACATAATAGCAGCTAATACACCTTTGCCAAATAAGGAATGTTTATTTGCCACCCCTTCCATTGGTGCTGTATTAATCAGAGCCACTGTTACTTTTCACCTGGATTCATGTAACAGACTCGTTGTTGGTGTCCACACCTCATGCTCTTTGACCCTTTGGGCTATGTTGCAATCATCTGTTAGACATTGAACGATTCACATTTCCCGAATTGTTTGCCCGCACCATAAAGTCCAACTGGCAGTGCAAAGACCGGCAGTTGTAGCTCTCGTTGAGCTGATCCTGGCTGAACTCTTCAGTCCTCTGCCCTACTTTCCTTCGGTTTACTCTTTCAGAAAAAAGGGCAAGAGTGAAATCCTGTGGTGGAAGCCCGGACATGAAGAAAACAACTCCCTCATCGATGTTACATTAGATCCTGCCATTTGGTGCATAGAGTAGTCTGAATTGTGCTTCCACTGTCACAGGAATCCAGGAAAGTCCAATCAATATTGGCGGGTGATGAAGATATATCCTGTAAACCTCACCACTGCCTCAATATCTTGCTTTCTGTCCCTTAACACTCACACAGAGGCCTCATCTTATCCAGTCAAGAACCACCAACACTGAAATCTTTTTTGTTATCAACTAATATCTATATCCTGACTTTTCTGCAGCCCTGTAGAAGGCCAGTCCAAACCTTTCCCCATACCAATGAAGAAAGTCTGGGAATTTAAGTCCCAGGAAATATTGTCCTTAGACCCAAGCAACAGGAGACCCTGCTCTGGACCCCGAATCTTAGAGCAGAGCTCTGGATCATACACATTAACCAAGCGTTAGGGGGTCCCCTGCTCTGGACACATTGCCTTCCCAGCAAGGTAAAGTCTATTGGATTCCTAGAGCTTGCAACCCTTTCATCACCCATGCTCTGGGAACCTTGAACCCTAGAATTTCCATGCAAAAGACCCCACGCATGTTCTCATTGCCTGTGTGGTCCTCTCCTCTCCTCTGGGTCCTATCTGTCAAAGCATCATGATTACTGCTAGATTAGGCTTAGCCAAGGGGACAATCAAAATGAATGAACCATAATTGCTGTTTGCAAGCATCGCCGACGCCATTAGTTGTTGGTCAATTCTTCCCCTAAGCCTTTGGATGTCCAAAGTTAGAAATTAAATGAGGTGTTTCAGCTTTAAGTCTGATCAGAATAATGCTTCTCCGGCACACATGTGCGTGACTTTCTTTGTGGTTTATACACCTGAGTGCAGAACTGCTAAGGCATAGCAAATATGAATTTTCAATTTAAAAAATAATATCAAACCATTTTCCAGAGTGGTTGTGTCAACTTATACTCCCAGAAAGAGCCTATGAGCGTTCCTGTGACTCCGTATCCTCAGTGACTCTTGTTATTGTCGTTATTTTTGTGATTGTCATTATAGGAATTGTACAGAATAATTAGTGGAGAATTGGCATATTTTCTTTGTTTATCTCTTCATTTATAGACATTGTTTATCCCTCCTTTTATCTAAAGGTCTTTGAATGACTTACTGGTCTTTTATAACATTTTTCTTTAAGGAACTTGGAACTCTTTTTGAGATGTATTTCATTTCTTCCACATTAATGACATCTTAAAATTACATTTTCCGGTTGTTTGTGCCTGATTTGGGGATGAAACTGATTTTGAGTATTGATTCAATATTTGCCAGTCTGAATGCAGGTTCTCTTTGAGTTTCCATGAAGTATAAATATAACCTTTAAGTAATTACTATTATCCTCATTACTAATACACATATGTTGTCTTTATTTTTTCCTCTCTTATCTCATTGGCCAGGGCTCTGGGACAATGCTGAATAGAAGTGATGATAGGGGTAACACCTACCTTGTTCTTAATTTTAAAGACAATTATTTTAAAATGTTATATTTTGGGGCCGGCCTGGTGGCATAGTGGTTAACTTCACACACTCCACTTTGGCAGCCGGGTATTCAAAGGTTCAGATCCCAGGCACGGACCTACACATTGCCCATCACGCCATGCTGGGGCAGTGTCCTGCATACAAAATAGAGGAAGATTGGCACAGATGTTAGCCCAGTGACAATCTTCCCTAAGCAGAAAGAGGAAGATTGGTAATACATGTTAGCTCAGGGCCAATCTTCCTCATCAAAAAATAAATAAACAAATAAAATGTCATATTTTAACTCCATTGAGAAATAATTGAGAAATATAACTGTATGAATTTAAAAGTTGTTATTTGATATACCTATGTATGGTGTAATGATTATCAAGAATAAGATAATTAACACATCCATCACCTCACATAGTTAAATCTTTGTGTGGTGAGACTACTTAAATGTACTCTCAGCAACTTACAAGGACATAATACCAAGTTAAGTATAGTTACCATACTACACATGGAACCATCAGAAATTCTTCTTCTTATAACTGAAAATTGGTAGCCTTGCACCTTTCTCTCTCCATTTCCGTCTCCCCACATCTCCTGGCAACCACTGTTCTATTCTCTGTTTCTAGGAAATCTGTTTGTTTTGTATTATGCATTTAAGTGATACCATATAGTGTTTGTCTTTCTCTGTCTGACTTATTTCAAGTAGCATCATGCCCCCCAGTTCATCCATGTTGTCACAAATCATTTTTATTTTTATTATTTTTATTGTTTATTTTTATATCTGAATAGTATTCCTATACATATATATGTCATAATCATGATCCATTCATCCATCGCAGTACATTTAATTTGTTTACATATGTTAATTATCGTAAATAATGCTGAAATGAACATAGATGTGCAGATGTATCTTCAAGACACTGATTTCAACCCTTCAGATATATACCCAGGAGTGGGATTGCGGGATCAATGGTAGTTCTATTTTCAAACTTTTGAGGAACCCTCATACTATTTTCCTAATGGTTGTACCAACTTACACTCCCACCACCAGGGTATAAAGGATTCTCATTTCTCCACATCCTCAACAATGTTTATTTATTGTCTTTTTGATAACAGCCATCTTAACAAGTGTGCTGTGAAATCTCACTGTGGCTTTGATTTGCCTTTCCTTGATAATTAGTGACATTGAGCACCTTTTTCTATACCTACAAGCCATTTGTGTGTCTTCTTTGGAAGAACATCTATTCAGGTCCTTGCCCTTTTTTAATTGGGCTATTTGACTTTGCTATTGAGTTGTATTAGTTCTTTATATTTTGGAGATTAACTTCTTATCAGATGTACGGTTTGCAACTATTTTTACCATTCTGTAGGTTGTCTTTTCAAATTACTGATGGTTTCCATTGTTGTGCAGAAGCTTTTTAGTTTAACGTAGTCCCACTTGTTTATTTTAGCTTTTGTTGCCTGTGCTTTTGGTGTCTTAGCCAAGAAATCATTATCAAGCCAATGTCAAGGGTCTTTTCCTTATGTTTTCTTCTAGGAGTTTTATGGTTTCGGGTCTTACATTTCAGTCTTTGATCAATGACAAGTTAATTTTTGTGAGTGGTGTAAAGTAGGGGTCCAGTTTCATTCTTTTTCATGTGGATATCCAGTTTTCCCAACAACATTTATTGAAGAAACTATTCTTTTCCCATTGTGTGTTCTGGGTGCCCTTGTCAAAAATTGGTTGACTATATATATGTGGGTTTACTTCTGGGCTCTTTATTCTGTTCTGCTGGTCTATGTGCCTGTTTTGATTCCAGTACCATGCTGTTTTGATTACTGTAGCTTTGTAATAATCCTTCAAATCAGGGAGTGTGATGCCGCCAGCTTCGTTCTTCTTTCTCAAGGTTGCTTGGTCTATTTGGGATCTTTGGTGATTTCATACAAATTTTAGGAAATTTTCTACTTCTGAAAAGATACCATTACAATTTTGATAAGAATTGAATTGAATCTGTAGATTACTTTGGATACAATGAACATTTTCACAATATTAACACTTTCAACCCAAGAACACAGGATATCTTTCCATTAATGTGTCTTCTCGATTTCCTTCACCAATGTCTTACAGTTTTCAGCATGTAAGTTTTTCACCCCCTTGGTTAAATTTATTTCAAAGTATTTTATTCCTTTTGATGTTATTGTAAATGAGATTGTTTTCTTAATTTCTCTTTCATATGTTTCATTGTTAGCAAATAGAAACACAACTGTTTTCTGTAAGTTGATTTTGTTATTAGAACTTTAGTAAATTCAATTATTAGTTCTACCAGGTTTTGGAGAGAGTCTTTAGGATTTTTTGTAGATAAGATCATGTCAGCTGAAAATAAAGTTAATTTTGCTTCTTTCTTTCTGATTTGGATTTTTTCTTTCCTAATTGCTGTGACTGGGATTTCTAGAACTCTATTGGATAGAAATGGTGAGAGGGGACATCCTTGCGTTTCTCCTGATCTTAGAGGAAATTCTTTTAAATTTTCACCATTGAGTATAGTATTAGCTATGGGCTTCTCCTATATGACCTTTATTATGATGAGCAACGTTCCTTTTATACCTGATTTATTGAGAGTTTTTAATCATGAGAATGTTGAATTTTGTCAAATGCTTTTTCTGTATCTACTGCAATTCTCATAGGATTTTAATCCTTCGTTCTGTTAATGTGGTGTATCACATTAATGATTAGCATATATTAAAACATCCTTGCATCCCATAGTGTCTGATCATATTAATGTGCTCTTAAATTCAGCTTGCTGATATTTTGATGAGGATTTTTGCATCTATATTCATCCAGAATATTGGTCTGCTGCCTTCTTTTCTTATAGTGTCCTTATCTGGCTTTGGAAACAGGGTAATGTTGGCCTGCTAAAATGAGTTTGGGAGTGTTCTACCCTCTCCAATTTTATTGAAGTTTAAGGGAATTGGTTTTAATTCTTTTCAACATATTTCCTAGAATTTACAAGGAAACCATCTGGTCCTGGGCTTTTCTTTGTTGGGAGATTTTTGATTTCTGATTCAATATCATTACCAGTTATTGCACTATTCAGATTTTCTATTCCTTCGTGATTCAGTCTTGCTGGTTGAATGTTTCTAGGAATTTATCCATTTCTTCCAGGTTATGCAAATTGTTAGCATATAATTGATCACAGTAGTCTTTTGTGATCCTTTGTATTTCTGTGGCAACAGATGCAATGACTCTCCTGTCATCTTTTATTTATGTGAGACTGTTCTGTTTTTTTTTAGTCTAGATAAAGGTTATTCAATTTTATCTTTTTAAAAAACAAGCCCTTAATTTTGTTCATCTGTTCCATTGCTTCTTGTCTCCATTTCGTTCTTTTTTCTTGCTGTGATCTTTGTTATTTCCTTCCTTCTGCTAGCTTTGAGCTTGGGATGTTCTTCTCATTCTTGTTCCTGAGGTGTGAAGCTAAATTTTTTATCTGAGATCTTTTTGCCTTAATGTACAAGTTTATAGCTATCAGAGTTCCTCTTAAAACTACTTTTGCTGCAACCCATAAGTTTTGATATGTTGTGCTTCCATTTTTCTTTGTTGTGTGGTATTTTTTTATTTCTGTTTTAATTTCCTCCTTGACTCATTGGCTTTTCTTTTATCCTGAATTTACTTTATTTACTCATAAAGTATAACTTAGACTAGCTCTCTCATAACAAAAGTGGTAAATCTTCTCAGCATTTTGTCTGAAAATGTCTTTCTTTCATGCTCATTCTTGAAAGATAGTATAACTAAGTAGAACTCTCAGTTCATAATTAACTTCCTGCAGGACATGAGAGTTGAGACAGGCTCAGGTATGGGAGACAGACATTAAAAATTTTGAACTGGTTAGTCTACTGGGGATAGAGTGAGAAGACTTGTCTCACTAGAATATAATGTAAAATATAGAGAAAACAAATTTTCAAGGAAACATGCCTGAAAATTTCCTGAATTGATGTAATCTCAGTTTAAAGAACCACACCTAACCTCACAAAGAATTATTACAAGTTAATCTTTGCCTAGTTTCTAGGAAAGTTGTAGTAGCAAATAGTAGATAAAATCTGAAACCAGGAGAAAGACAGATGATATCCAAAGAAACAATAATTACAATAGCAACGTGAAGGGAAGAAGACAGAAAAATATCTTTAAGGGCTCTGGAAAAGACCCATTAAACAAAAATTCTAAACACCGAACAGATTAGTGGCAGGAAGAACACCATTCCTAAGGCCACATGGCTCTCCAGACAGGATCTTCTTAGAGACCCTTGAAAACTGGTACACAGCCTGCTCCAAAGGAACAAGGCTCGTTACAGGGTAAATGCATGATGTTGGATAATATTTAACCATCTTTACTCTCATTCATTCAGCAAATAGGTAGGATGGACCTAAATGTGCCAGATATTGTGCTGTTAACTGTGCCCAAAAGAGTGAACATAATAGATGTACCCTTGCTTTCATCAAGTTTGTAAATACCCCCTCTTTCTACCTCCCCAATATGCAGTGCCATATGGATCCTGGTTCGACCACACTCGTGGCTGGATGTCCATAAGAGGGAAGGAGAACTTCCTGATACTGAGTTATGAAGAGCTGAAACGGGTAACTGTGGTCCTTATGGTTAGCACACACCTCTCACCACCATCTCCACTCCTCTAACTTCCCTCCCTTCCTCTGTGTCTCTATTCCACCTTCTCAGTCAAAGTTGAGCCTTGTGAAGGGTCATTAGGAGTGAGAAAAGCTCCCTGTCTTCATTGCCCTGCTTCTGGTTGACACTGCCCAAGCTCAATGCTCTCCTTCTCCATATGTTCTGCTTTGTTTCATCTTACAACATTTAAAGGAGCTTTTTCACAAATACAATGGCTTTTGCTCACACTGGCAATGGTTCTAAAGTTTCGAGGGGTAGGATACAAGATGCCGCTGATAACCTAGTGGTGGGAGGGCACTGAAGAAGAAGACGGGTTTAGTGAAAAAAGTGTCCTTACAGAGATGTCTCCAACTGCCTGACACCCAAGATTTACTGATAGAAGAAAACTAAGTCATGAAATCAGTCTGTGTAGTTATTCTGACAGGCCAAGTACTAGACTGAACAGTAACGGGCAGGAGAAGCGGTCAGATGATGCTCGAAACCAGGAAGGGGGATTAAACCATTGCAAGAAGAACTTTACCTATTAATGCTGTCCCAGAGAAAAGAAAAGATGATGTAAACACATGCTTTTGCTTCTGAGAAAGAATTAGTTTCCATCCTCTTCTTCTGGCTACTCTGTCCAATCCCCTGTGACCTCCACATGAATTTCATTTTCACTGAGAAGGCTTCTGTAACAAGTTTAACTCCCTCAGGTACATTACACTCCAGTAATTATGCTTTCAAGCCACAAAATAAACCTGTATTGGAGGAATTTCTACAGTTGTGTGTCTTCTGCTTAGATCATTAAGAGGGTGCATGGGATAAAGAAACACTTTAAAGCATTATATCTCCAAGAAGAAGGTCTATGACTCAAAGCAAAGTTTTTTGTTTATAAGACATTTTTTAATAATCTCCAAGGATCATGAGTCAAGTACTAATTACTGAGATGATATTGTGAAACTCTGTGTGTTATTCAAATGTTAGTTATATAAAATGGTAAGAATTGATGGCACAGCCAAGATTTGAAGTCAATCTCTTTGATCTTTGTCAAGTTCTCCCTGAACCTCTCTTCAATTAATCCTCATCATAATTGTCTAGAAGCCTTCCTACAAGTCTCTTCAGAAATCACCGGGCCTGTATTTAGTTTTAAGGTATCCTGAAGTCAATTATCCTGGGAAATCCATGTGGATCCTGCATCTTTCTACCCTTGGTGCTCCTTCCTCTTTACATTTTCCCTTCCTTCCTCCTAGTTGCAACCAATCAATCGCTTCCTGCTTCTCACGTTGTTCTTCTCTTCCTCCCTCCTCTCCTCCTTCTCGTCACATTGTTGTTTCCTCATTCTTACTTCCTTGTGCATGTTCTTTCTATTTCATATCCTCTCTCTTGTTTTTACTTCTCCTAGGACACAAGAAGCATCGTAGAGATGATAAGCCAATTCCTGGGCAAGAAATTAGAACCAGAAGAACTGAACTCCGTCCTGAAGAATAGCTCCTTTCAGGTCATGAAAGAAAACAACATGTCCAATTTTTCCCTCCTGCGTGGTCAGTTTTTAGATAAGAATGGAATACTACTGAGAAAAGGTAAAAGAAAATGCTCTGACTTCAAAATATATCAGAATACGTGGAGGACATACAGGTGATAACAGCAGAGCACTAACAGTTGGGACTAAGGAATGTTTGAATTTATCAAGTCTAATTGCTCATCCTCCAAAGAAGTTCTCAGGTGCCATTATCACAAAGTCTCTTTTCACAGCATCGATGTGGGCTTCAGGCAATGGTAGGACGTTGACTAGGCTGCCGTGGTCATCTGACTTAGGAGAGGTCTTCAGATTCTCTCTCCTCAGAATTTGACACGGGGCATGTCCATTACACAAACACTGACCAGGCTAATTCACTACTCCTGCCAACTTGCCAGCTGGGATTGCCCTGGGAAATGAGGACAGGATTGGAGATGGTCATGTTGGTGTTACCGCACTGGTGATTTAGCACAGGGAACTATCCTGAACAAAGAAATACATGCAGAATGAGTCAACTGAGGAAAGGAGAGGCGAGACTTTTTTTTTGCATGTCAGGATATCAGAATCTTTGAAGCATAGTTGTTAACACTAGAACAGTGAAGGTCTTAAGGATGACCTCAAGCTCTAATGGGCTTTGTCCAAACTTGACTCATTCCGCCATTGCTAATACCTTGGTGCCTCACAGAATGTGTTTAAAGATGTCTTCATATCCAAAATGTTACGGGCCGAATTGTGTCCCCCCAAAATCCATA